TCTTTTCATACATGCATGATTCTTTTCAATGGAAACTAATACACAAGAAAGTATATAGTCATAACTCTCTCCAATATCTATGCTATCTGATCTACGTGGGGTAATATATATACCTAGACTATTCAGCTCGCTTACCACATTCACTCTATTGTGTTCCGAATATATGGGGTCGTTGGTCTATATCGTGATGTTAGCCAACTTGTGAGGATGGTGGAGAGTTCAGAGATCCTTATCTGACAACTGACGAGATCTTGATTGGATCACGAGATTTTGTGTTACGAAGTAGTTTTTACGTGAGTAATTTTGTGTTATACTACTTAATAGCAGCCCTTCCCGGCTTCGCACAAGGTAGACAATAATTTATTTTTGGAAATTTGGATTGTTGTAGTGACATAACTACAATAGTTGGACATATGCTACCGCGGAGTTTTTGTAGACATTATGATGTTCTTCAATATTGTTATAAATAATAATGTATAACAATATTGAAGAACAAAATATTTTTCTATCGCTAATAGTTTCGGCAGCGCATTCGACGAAAGACATTTTGAGACTCATTTTTCTACACCTTCGGTTACATTGTTCAAATTTTACCAAGGTCCCTAATTTTTTAAAAAATGAAATGTAGCCTATGTCAAATTGGAAGAATGTAGTATTCTATTGGTGAAAGAATTTTTTAAATCGGCCCTGTATTTTTTGAGCCTATTCATTACAAACATACAAAAATAGGTACAAATCTTTCCTCTTTATAATATTAGTATAGATTACTGTGTAGTTGGTTGGGTGGTTATGTATAACTGTTCAGTTTATGGCCTCGTGTTGGACTCTTAAAATCGGGTATAATCAGTATTTTGGCTTCAAGGTGGTATAAAGAATGAAGATTGTGTTGATTAAAGTCATAGTTATAGTGTTAGGGTATTTTAGAGGTTGACTAGAAATTATTACATTAATTTTAAATAATCTTATACTAGTTTTGCCGGTTTGTGGAATCTTAAACTGTCGAGGAAGCAGGTGATTAGCCCACTGTGCCTGTAATCAGCTAGCGAGGCTGCCGCTTCAGAGTACGGATATGCTCGGTTTTGTCTCAGGTTTCCTCCTTAGTGAGTCGATTCTGTTTTAAAGCGCAGAGTACTCACCTGCTTAAGTGCTTAAGGCATCGAAATGACGTGGAGCGAGGTGAAGCTTAAGACCGATCGAGAAAGAGAACCCCTATGAACGCCCTCTGCCCCATCTAGGGGACATAGGACTATAATTCAAGACTAGTTTTTTGCCACGCTTCACATCAAAACGGCTGAAGGGATCGATTTAGAACCGGCGTAGATTGTGGTCTGGAATAACAAATATGGCAGAAGATAGTGCCATATACATAGGTATAAGCAAAAAGAGTCTTGAGTCATTTCTAGTGTTTAACAATAGGGTAAAAGTACATATTTCGTCGGACGTGACATGTCTGCTTTATGTAAAGATGTTAAAGTATTGAGTAGGTAGTCCTAAATCACTTAGGTCATTTCTGGTGTTTAACAATAGGGTAAAAGTACATATTTCGTAAAATAAAATACTTCATTACTTTCTTACCAAAAGATAAACTCCATTAAAGAAAAGTTTATTAATAAAAATGAGCTCTAACGTCCAAGGCTGAATAACATTAAGAAGTAAAATAATGAAGTTAGACATAATAATGAATAAATAACCATTAATTACCAACTTGAGACCTTTAAGAGTTTTCATTTAGAAACGAACTTGGTTGAGACTCGAATTAAAACTCTATCTTTTATGTAATAAGTCTGATACTGGTGTAAAAATGTCAGGGAACAAAGTATAAATGAATTTCTATTCGTTTTAAGGTAATAATACTTTATTTTCGCATAACTTCATGACTTATTCTTCTACAGAGAAAGCAGAAGCATAATATTAGCACTTGATTGTACCTATGGTTGATGCGGTAGCTGGACAACCGGTTACTGCTATTTGTGTGATCAGATCAGATCAGGAAATGTCGTTGAGGGTGTGGGTGTCATGTCATGTATATGTGAAACTGTTTTGTTAATACACTCACGACATAGGAGAACATCCTTATGGGACGCGGAAGACTTAACGGGTTGCCGGAGCTTCGGCTCGAATAGCAAGAGTAGGAATGGGGCGATTATCGCCCTTTAAAAAGAGTGAAAATCCTAGAGTGAAACGATTTCTTTAAGAAAAAAAAAAACATTAAATTCTATAACTATTATATTTTTGAATTACTCACGTAACTGTTTAACGAGGAACTTGTCGCATTGGGATTTGCCGTTGGTAGGTTTCGAAAACTCATACATGAGAGAGGGCGTCTTAAACTGTCAAACACCAAGCGGTCACCGGTGACCGCAACCTATTGTTCTATAATTGTGTCTATAATGACTGTACTCGACGAGTTAAACGTCCGGGCCATTACGACAATTTTTATAACTGTTAGGTATTATAACTGGCTAAATGTGGAAGTGGTTGATGTGTGCTATCTACCATAACATATACAATACTCATCTATATATAGAGGTATAAAAATGAAACCCGTTTCCCGTTGTCACGCTATAACTTGAAAATGACCGATTTGGCAGATTTTTTAGCCGACTTCCCGAAAAAGGAGGAGGTGATCAATTCGGCTGTATCTTTTTTGTTTGTTGTCTTTTTCATTGTCAGGAGAAGGTATTTACGACAGAAAAAAAATCGTGAAATTCCTTCGGGAACGGGAGAAAACGGGATGGCGTGTACGAAGTCGCGAGCAGAAGCAAGTGCAGCCATTAATAATTATGTAACTACTGATATAACACACCACAGTACCATACACCCGTCACAGCCGGTTATAATCTTGAGGTTTAATACTGACAGTTTATCCGGGTAAGCCGCTTATCAAAGACAGGCTAACGGAATATTGTGCTTCAGCTTTAATAAAGGGTAAGCAGGGATATAGTTAAAGGGTGCTTATGACAGACAAAGAGCTTTTTAGAACTTTGAATATGATAAACTATTAACTTTCCAG